ATTATCTTAAAGAAACTACACAGGGTTATCACTTTTTAATTAATTATATTAAATTTTAACTATTATTATACACTACTTTTTCTCTTTCATGTTTGTTTAGTTTTTCAAAAATTCATATCCGTTAATGCACAATAAAACATATTTAATTATACTTAATATATTAAACAAAATTAATAAAAAGTAAGCATCACACATACACCACAACAACAATGTATGTGATTTGATTGGAATGGATGCGAGAACTATAACAGTTGCTAAATTGCATCATATATGTATGATGTAATGCTTGCATATATATATATATATATATATATATATATATATATATATATATATATATATATATATATATATATATATATATATATATATATAGAGAGAGAGAGAGAGAGAGAGAGAGAGAGAGAGAGAGAGATGGCAATTTGAAGAAGTTGTACAAGTTGGATTGTGTTTGTCCAACAACAGTGAATTAGTGACCACATAATGTGATGTGTCTGCGATTTGTACTATGAATTTAGTACTAGATTCTAGGTTTTTCTGTAAAACCTAATACTACATCACACAAATTTTATTCTTTTAAAAAAAATCCATTTGAAAACCCTAAAATTTGGATATTAAATGAGAATTTGAAATAAAAAATTAATAATTGATGGTTGACCAAATCTACTTCTTTTAAACTTAATTCAATAACAAATGGAGAAAGAAAAATCGAACAAAACAAAGTTCAAACTATAAAGGGAAAATAATACTATACAAATAATCAATCTTCAAAACATTTATTATTTTATGTGACTTGTGATATTAATAATCTTTCCTATATCCCGGAACCACTCTTAGTTATTCTCAAGTTGAGAGTTAAGTATTATTTTATAAAAATATAAAGATTTATTCAAGAAACAAATAATTTTTAAAGTTATTTTTTTTCATATACAAGGAAGTTAAACGTCTGACCATATAATTAATTCTTGAATAGAAATCATATTATTTTTCTAAAATTTGAATTATTAAAATAATATGTTAATCAGGCGAAAAATAAAAATATATTTTAAATATTAAATTTATAATAAAAAACTTAGTTTCCTAGTTTAAGAGTATCATGTAAAAATTCAGCCATAAAAATTATCATTTAAAAAATAAAGTTATTTATCTTTATTTTTTTATTTTAAATTAATAAAGACTTGTTTGCAGTTAAATATGTCGTAAGAAAGATGAAATATAGTTAAATTTCTAACTAATTTAAAATAAATTATTTTCTAAAGCTAACTGCATAAATTTAATAACTTATTTTAAAAAATTACGAAAAGTAAACTTTAAGTAATTTTTGAACTTTCCAATAAATATATATAAAAAATAATTTTTTTATTTAGTTTTGTTTAAATAATAATATAATCTAAAATGAATTTAAGAATAAAAAATTTCCTTCTCATAAACAAATCTACGTAAAAGATTTATATCACCGTTAGTAAAAAATCTTAAAATATTTAATTACTCGTATTTCTCGGTTATATAATATTAAACTTCTTATTTAATATGAGATTTAGGTCATTTAGATTATTCAACAATAATTTAAAAAAAATTATATATTATATATTATAAAGTAAAACTTACTTGGTCAATAATAAATTTCAATGTCAATTTACAGTTTTATGTAACACATAGAATGAAAAAATGGTCTTCAGTCCAAGTATATGAGCATATATTAATAAAAACTTCTTTAGAACTTTTCCGACTTCTTACCTTCTAGATGCATTAGCTAATACATGAAGCAATTATTATTATTATTTTTAAAATTATTGATAATTTGTTGGGTAATGAAATAAAAATCCCATGTATTTGGAAGAGATGGGTCAAAGATGCAGTATGAAAATTGAAAACTACTTAAGACTATACAATGAACCAAACAAGTTGCATAGATTGTATAGTTGTGTGGTAAACATTTGACTGAACAAATTTTATCAAAAACAATTAATTAAATAAATAAGTAAATAGAGTAAAAAGATTGATAAAAGAAATGGTTGGGAAATGGCAGAAGTATTGTTATAATAAAGGCAGTGCCATGAATTTGAAAGATGCACATGCAGGTTGCGTGCGCCGTGTGAAATATTTAATCAAAAATTAGCTGTCAACTTAACCATCCAAACTGCTCCTTACCCTCCTATTTAATTTCAACATATTTTTATGTGCTTTTCTTTTTTATTCAAAAATAATAAAACTAACACTATCCACACTCTTACCCATACAACTATTCTATTTATATAACTCACTTTAATTTTATCTTCTATTCTGATTTCACCACTCACAAATATATATATATATATATATATATATATATATATATATATATATATATATATATATATATATATATATATATATATATATATATATATATAGAGATGTGCTTCTCAATATATGAAGTAAACGAAATATTTAGACTAGCCTTAATTGTTTAATTTATATAAAGAGAATTTTTTTAATAAGAAATAAGTTATAGTATTTAAAATAAAAAATTTAAAATCACACGGGTAATGTTTTTGGGTTTAAATTAGATTTAATAAAATAATTTATTATATACTTTCATAAATATATGTGACTTATGTTTTCTTTATATATTATAATAAAATTATTGTGCAAGAAAACTTCGTAATGAATGCGTGTACAAAAAGGGAGAGAAGACGTCAGCAAGTAGTTCTCTCTCATCCTTCTTTTTCTTTTGTTTAAATTTTAAGCAACAAGACTATACTCGTATAGGATCTCGATGAAACGAGAGAGAACTTAAATTAAGTAGGAAAACTTCGATAGAAATACCACACCAAGCTTAAGTGGAAGTTTAATTTATTCAATATATGAGACTGAATTGTTGAATACTTTGTGAATAAGGAATAGGAGTGGAAATCTAAACATTAGAATGATTGATTTTGAAGATTTCTCATGTTTTGCAAAACTTGAAATTTTGTTGGAATTCTTGAAATTAATGATGAATTATATGATAAAATTGTTGTTTTCAACTTAAATTATATATAAGTCATGTTTAATTTCAATTTGGGACTAGTTTGGTTGTCTAAAACTCGAGTAATTTGAAATCTGCAAAATTTGATATTGTTATTGATGCGAGGAAGAAGAAAGGGACATGGAAGGAATTTTCGAAAATGTTCAAGGGTAAAATAATTATTTTCTGAATATGGAAGAAATTTTTGAAAATGTCCAAGGGTAAAATAATCATTTAGGGACATACATGGAATTTTCAGAAAAGATTAAGGGCAAAATAGTAATTTAATGATTTCAGAAAAAAAGAAGATATATATATATATATATATATATATATATATATTAAAATATAGAATGAAGGTAATATTTTTAAAGATTCGAGTAGTATGTTGTGACGTGTGTGGGTCAGACTGAGTCTAAGGGCTGATGTCCATAATAAGTCATGAGATGTTATGTATTGGCTAGACTGAGCCGGAGGGTTAGTGCCCAGAATTAGTCAAGTACTATTATTTATTAACTTGAATGAGCCGTGAGGACAAGTGGTCAAGAATCTGACAAATGTGAATGATTTTTATTGTGTTTGAATGGTACCCGAAGTGGTACAAAGTACATTAGTGTAATAACTATGTCGGAGGATTCTGAATGAGGTTCCTGACTTCACTAATTGGTCGGGTCAGATAGATTACGAGATCAGGTGGTGAGAAGTCGATGGGGGATGACTGGTGACACGCTCGGAGGGGTACTCCAGTATGAGTGATGAATGATGCCAGTAATCCTACTCTGTGTGGAGTGTGGTCAGAATGGTACTGCGGGTGCCTATCATAATGTGCCCACGGATGATAGCCACTGAGTTCGGGCATAGTTAGGGTAGACTTTCGGAAGACGTCTTAGTGTATTGATGATTTATAATTGATGATAACATGTAATTATTACTTCAATATCTGTTTTATTATATCGAATGGTTTAATACTTATACTTATTTTTTCATCTGGATGGGACTGCGATGATCACTTTTATGTGGGAGCTGATAAGGAGTTAAGAGGTGGAGATGCGACTACTGGACAACAGGGATAGTTCAATTGAGTAATTTTGTGTGAGCTACTTTTGCATGTATCTGTATATATAAATTATGTTACTATGTTCTAAGGTTCCGTCGGTGAACTGAGATTTCAGTCTATATTACAATTACAATAATATAATGTAATATAAATATTATTATTTACTTGTTTACTATTTTGCGAAGTTATCACTATAGTAACGATTTCTATGGTCGTTACATTATAAATTTAAAATAAGTTAATTAATAATTACAAATATCTTAAAAAAAATAAAACTATTATAATTAGAGTAAAAATTGTCATAATTATTTTCATAAATTTTACAAGTAATTGTCAAATATACATGCATTTTTTTTATCTAAAGAGTTATATTATAAAAAAATAATGTTTATAAAAATTATCAACTTAATCTTTTATTTATAGAATTTTTTAAATAGTTTCATATATCATAAACATAATAATTATATGAAACCGTCTTGATTTTTTAAAATAAAGAAGGAAAACATGTTTTATCCTTTAAATAAATATTTAAATTTAAAATAAAAAAATAAAAAAGTTGATTTAACCGTTAAAACTATTAGGTTTCATCGATTTTTTTGGTTTTTATCTGAACTTTTTTTCAAATAATAGATATATTTTCAGATCAATTCTCATTTAGATGAGTTAAACTGATTGGTCTAACACGATTCTTATAACACTGTCACTTTCAATTAACTGGTTAAGTAGTGTATATTAAAAATACAAAAGAAATACCATTTTAAAATTTTGATCATAATTTAATGTTGCAAGTTTAGACAGAGAAGAAGGTCCCAAGAAATTTTGTTGATAATAATTAAAACAAGACATCGTAATTAATAAAATACTAAAAATGGAGAAACTCGTGCGGGAGAAATTTCTCTTGCTATGAATGAACCCTCTCTTTTTATTTTTAACGCATTGAATGTTGGAGTAGGAATGAGGCACGTGGCAGACGCAGAAGTGATGCGGCACTTGTACCTTGGCCTAACCAGCTCAACCACCTCCATTCATTTTCTTTTCCCAATTATCAACCCTTCTTCTTCTTCTTATGGTTTCCCCAAATATACAATCCAAATTCCAAATTTACCAAACACCTTTTTGCATTGCCATACACCCATCACAAGGACCCACACCATTACCTGGGGATGGATGCCCAACTTTCTCTTCTACTCATTACTATATTTCTTCTATCTCAATAATTAACTATTATCTTTTCCAACTATTAACAACAATTACTTCAACAACTTTTTTTTTTCATTAACATTTAAGATAAATGCTAAAAGAATTTTAAATCTTTAATAAATAAAATGGAAGCGGTTAAATTGATCATAAGGGTTTTTTTTTATATATAATTGGTTTACATTATTTAAATTTTATTTTAGTTTTTATAGTGAGTTACCTATCTCACTAATTTAAAATTATTATGTATCTTATATATAATTGTATATTAGAGTTTATCAGTTCTTAAAATATTAACAATATTGCTTTTACAAACGACGTTGCTTAATAAAAAAATAAGAAACAATTAAAAAAAAATCTTTTAACTAAACACTTTCAATTATAACCAATCTTTCAAATCATATTTATTAATTTTAAAATTTTTTTATTTTATTTACAAAATAACAATAATATTATTCTAATAATATATAATACTTGTTTAAATATTTTAAAACTTTTATGAAGTTAATTTAGTTATAATTTGATTTTTAACTTTTTCTAAAAAAGAATTTAGTTTTATATTTTCTTTTAAATTAATGTTTACAAAATATTAAACTTTATCATCATTTTAAATTAAAATATTATATAAAATTATAATAATTAAATTATTTTAAAATTCAATGAATGGTAGATCAAAAGATAAAAGATAAGAACACAATCAAATGAGTCATACTAATTTAATTTTTAAAGTGATTTAAAGATATTCATCAATAAAAAATATTAACCATTAATAAGATAAATCAAATTACATATTACACGGTTTAATATATCGTTTAAGAATAATTTATTTTATAAATTTGATTTATGAGTCATTTAAAAATTAAGGTAATTTATAATATCTTTCTTTTTTAAATCGATGAACTGAGAATTCCAAATCCAAAACAAACATAATCGATACAAGTTTTCTTAAAGTTGAGAAACTTGAAAATCATATATTGAAAAACATCAATCTGGTTCGCACTTCGTGTGTTCATCGCGTTATCGCCTAATAGAAAACAGCTCACACTGAGTTCGAAGTGCAATTTGGTGATTTCACATTGGGGCAACCGGGGTTTATCGGTTCTCACTCGGATCACTCTAGGCGCCGACACTGACGAATCCAACGCGCTCGTCCACGACGAGTGGGTTCACGCGCTGGCGGCACCACACGCAACCCACGCTCCACCTCAAAACGTTTCGACGGCGTGTGATTGCGATTTTGCAAGGTCAGCACCATCAACGGCTCGTGTTTCACGACAATGTAATCATAACTTTACTGTTTCTTTGTACTATTAAGTTGTATTATGGTACAGAATAGAAAAAAATAAATATATTGGTACATGACCTACGTCAACTTGTGCTTTTGAAATGCTTGTCCATGACAGGTGTCAAATACCTCCTTCTCCTTCAATAATTAAACTAAATTAAATATCTGGCTTCTGAAAATAAGGTAAATAGCTTTTTCAAATAGTCTAAATCATTATAAATAAAACCTAATCTCATTTTAACATGGATATCACTGTATTACTCTCATTAGCAGTACATGGTTCAAGAATGGAAATCAAAATAATTTAAATACACTTTGACACTTTGAATGGGGATGTTTCTGGACTGGACTTACGTGGATGCTAGAATGAGATGGGTTATTGACCTGATAAAGTTGTACGCTTTTCAAGCATGCACCAAAAGTTCAACTCAGTAGGAGTCAGAAAAGGTTTAGTCCTAAAAAAACAATAAAAAATACACGCCATGAAATTTTGATCAGAGAGACAGGAGAGAGATGTTGAAATTAAACAATATATTATTAATAAATAATAAATATAAAATAAAATAATATGAAATTAAAATTATAAATATACTTAATGATTATTATATTTAGAATCAAAATTATATATTATAAAACTTTGAACAACGTAATTAATGGTGTCTCAATTCATTTTAGAAAAAAATTAAAAATTTTAATAATAAATTAAAACAAGTTTCACTCACTTGATATGTTAAATGAATTTGAGTTGGATTTTTTTTTAATTTTTAATATTTTAATTTTTTTCAATCCATGTGTTAGTAAAAATATATGTAAAAAAGTATTTTAGTAACTCAATTTATTTTATTCATTTGTATTGTAAGTCATTCCATCTAATTTATTTACTTTTAGTAATTTAAAAAGATAAAAAATAAATAAAAAATATATATTTAAGTGGATCAATCCATTAATATATGGTGAGTCAATCTAGATTGTAAATTTTTTATTAACTAAAAATTAAATTAGATTAAATTAACCTATTTTTAACTTAATTCATGAAAAACTAATCTGTAACCGGATTGATTTACTTTAACACTATTTTACTAAAATATTTGGATTTGAACTTTTAGATGGGTAATGATAATTTTTATCTCACTTCCTAGATTTCAATTAAATAAAATAATTAAATTTTAATATTCTTGAAAACTAGAAGAGAAACTAAGTAGGACAGCAGGTGTCATGATGCCCATCCTAAACTAATTATATATATAACTATTTTTAAAAATTAAATAAAAAATTATAAATAGAAATAGAAATAAAATTTAAAATTTTTATATTTCTTTTCTTAATGTTTTATTTATAATAAATATTATATTTATTTTTTTACATAATTTTTTATTTATATTTTTTCTCTTTCATCCTTTTATTTTAAGATTTATATTTTTTTCATTTTTCTCACTATAACTTTTTTTATCAGTAATATCTTTTCATATTTTTATCTTTTATTTTTATCACTAATTTATTTTCAATTTTTTTTCATAATTTTACCTTACAACATAAAAATATGATTTTTTTCTCTTTAGTATTTTTAATTTTTGTTTTATGATTTCATCTCTCTAACATAAAAATTATATATTTTTTTATTCTTTTAAGTTTTTTAATTTTTTTTCTCTTCTCGTAAAGACAACATAAGGCAATTTTTTTTAAAGGAGATACCTCACACTAATTATTTGTAAAGTAAAAAATAATAAACAAATTTATTTTTTATTATTTTTATTTATTATTATAACAAAATAATATGTATAGTTTAATATAAAAATAAAAAATATTGATATAAATTAATTAGTTATATTTAATGTTTGATGATATTCATGTTAAAATATAAAAAAAAATCAGTTTAAATTTTAAAATATCTAAAAATAAAATTATAAATTAAAATTTATTTTCTAAAATTTTAATTCAATTAATAATATTGAATATGTAATATTTTTTTATAAGTTAACTTTCATCTGAAATGTATACTTCCGCCTAAGAAAAACATTATATTTTGCTGAGAACAATATTATATTTGTTATAATTTATTTCAATACTTATTTATACACAAAATATTTTAAATAAAAAATTATAGTTCTTAACCTTAAAATTTTCGTTAAAAAAATACTAGGTATCGTCGTATAACCTCATCAGTTTACACAAAACTTCGTTAAATGAATTGGTTTTAGACTATTTCTCAATATTTTACATCATCAACTATTTTTAAAGGCCTTTATTAATCTTATACTCTTATTTCATACATCATGGTCTTCGTACAATCATTCAAGCAATCGATAATCCTTAAAATATGAAAGACTTAGATTGATATTGTTTGGTTGAACAATTCTTAATCTTTTGTTTTTATATATGTAAAATATATTATATGATTTCAACCCAAATGCTTGAAAACATGAATGATTGCTAATTTAAGTTTATTCGTCTGCAATTCTAATAATCTACTTCAAGGGTTTGTAAGGTGATAAGGAAAAAAATGCGAAGAAAAAAGAAAATAAAAGAAAGAGAAAGAAATTGAAAAAAAAAAAGTGACATAAAAATAACAAATACTCATTTCAAAAAATAATAAATAATAAAATTAGAATTAAATATTTATTTAATTATAAAATTACCTATATAATTATTTAAATTATATTTCAAATTTTTAATAATATATTCTTTGATGTATAATTATAAAATATTTTTTATTATAAAATTATTTCAAATTAAATTAATAAAATAATATTACATTTCAAATAATATAAAATTATTTATTTAAATTTTATAATTACTTTTATATTTATGACATTTTATTAAAATAATTATATATATATATATATTAAAATAAAAAACATAACAATGAATAATAATTTAAGTGAGAATAATTTTATAAAATCATACCTCTCTTGTATTTTCTACTCTCTTTTTTTCTCGTATATTAGGATAAAGGAAACATTACAGTGAAAAATATATATATTTTTAATTTAAAAAATTAGTTGTTAAAGTGAAAAAAAGTATTTTATCATTTTTATAATAATAGTAATGATGATAATAATAATAATAGTGTTAGTAAATATAAATAATTATTAAATTTATATATAATCTTTTTATAATATTATCAATATAAAAAATTATAATTAAATATTAAATTTATGTATAAAAAAATGACTAAAATCATATATTTTCAAAAGTTGGAAAATCAAATTGATTAACTTAAAAGTATAAGGATCAAAGATAATTTTTTACACAAGAATACAAAACATATTTTTGTCCAATATTTATTACACAATTATGGTTAAAAACCACGGAAAAATAATAGTAATGATAAGTTCATACATTTTTTAACTATTTCTTAATAAATAATTTCTAAAGGAACAAATTTTAAGTGTTACAATAATATTTAAAAATTATATAAGAAATCAGTTTATAAATAATTAAAATAAATTTTTTATAGTAATTTTTTTTATCATAACATTAATGTTAGTCATAGTCAAAAGTCAGTCATTTTTACTGTATTTTGCATTATTATAAATATAAATATAATATAGATAAAATATAATTAAAGTTAAAAAAATATAAACATATTTATTAGTTATTAATTAACTTTAAGTATAATATATTGTTAGATTGGACTTTTAATCTTAAATCTAACCATGAAAGAAAAGTAGATTTAAAAAAATCATTTTTTTAACTTGGAAAATTTAAAATTTTCTTTTTAATCTATTCGATTTTAAATACCTTAACATAATCGTAAACCATTCTGAACAATCCAAAGTCGAAACCCACTTTAACATGTATACTCATACCAAACGTACATGTAGACAAGAAGCATACGTTATCCTTTATTTTTGTTGTTAATAATTGAAGTGGTTATTGGAGAAAGGTATGTTTAGAAAGTGTTATCTAACTGTGGGAAAGAAAAATCTCTAATAAAAGAAAGGTTGTTTGTTAGAAGAGTGTTCCAATGGTGTATCTAAGAGCAAAGGGAGAAAGCTTCTGACCAAAGAAAATTTCTGTTTGGAGAAAAATGTTGGGAAATTTTGAAAAGGAGTGGGGTTGTGAAAGGTTGTGGGTTTTGCTTATGTTGAAAAAGCACGTTTGACTTTGTGAAGAAGAGAAAAGTTAGTGGGATTTCAGAAGATTCTTGTTTGGCCTTATGTATGCTGTAAAGGCCACGTTTCAGATTTTGTGTACTCATTTCACAAGCTACCACGTTCATAATTAATTTAACAAATAAATGTGTGTCAAACAATGTTATATATTCATTAGTTATTATTCTCTATTTTTTTTATACAGTAAGTTTTTAATAGTTTATATATTTTGAATATTTATGAAAAGATAATAATAAAAAATAATTTATAAAAAAGAAAACAAGTTAATTATATAAACATCTTATTTAACTTAAAGTTTAAATCCTACATGGATATCTTATTTATACTATACCTTATTAAACTTTTTTATATCAGTTATTAAATTTGTGGATATATCTTATAAGTTGCTAAATTTTTTTAATTTCAATCTAACATGTGATCCAATTTATTCTTAATTTTTTTCCACACAGTTAGTCCAACAAGTTTACAAATAGGACTTTGCTATTGTCATATTTTTGTCCCCTAAGTTTATTTTTTTTAATTAAAAATACTCTTTTTTAAATATATCAATATATTTGGATATTTATGATAAGATTTTTTAAAGGTAAACTAAATTTACCTTAAATTTATATCTTTTTATCACAACCAAATACTTGAAAACAAACTTTCTTAAAGTTACTAATAAACTAAATGTTAGTATAGTTACAATCAATTTAATAGATAATTTACAAATAGGAAATCACAACTTTTTTGCATATGTTATATAAAAGAATGTGTAGCACAAAAATTATATAATACTCTCAAGAGTGTTAGTAATAAAACACAAATTTTAACCTAAATTTCTTGGTCGTAAAACCTCAACTTCACTCATAACAAATATCTTGTGCACTCGTGCTTAGGTTTTGCATCACCTCCTCTCGATTTAGAAGGCGTAG